CAAAATTGTGCGGAAAAATTAGCCGGGTATCATCGACACGAATGTACGCAATTTAAGTGACATTATTTTCCAACTTTCCTTCCAAAATGCAAGCTTAAATGAATTTGTTGTCTTAGATGACAAGTCAGAGGTATGAAAGTTCCGTAGTTGTTATTTTTAAAGACATTTATTTCTATGGTAAAATAATAATAACGAAATTTTATCTTTTTAGGAATTCTAAGGTCGGTATTCACAGTCGGTTCTTATATTTCAGAGACTCTCTTAAATATACAGTCTTAAGATATTGTGAACCAATTTTACATTAGCTTAAAATATTACTTGAGATGGTCTTGAAATAAAAACGATCTATGAATGTCGGTCTATAAGAGAATAATGCTCAATCATTTTTCCACTTATTCTACTTTGGCAGTGTAGTCTTCAAAATCAGAAGTATAATTTTCTATTGATGTTATTGCAAAAGAGTCGATTAAATAAATTTAAAATAATATGCAAGAAAACATGATATACGTGGACAGTCAACTCACAGAAGATTAGAACTGTGAATAGGCGGGGTCGAACAGTGTATAGGCTGTGTATAATCGCCGACAGCGAGTGATTTTGTTTCTTTCTTCGCATTTCTTCCTGTCGCTCGTAAAAATATGAGACCCGAAGGCTTAAAATTTTATACGTCTCTGCACCGCGCGTATACTCCACAGTAAAAACGGTACGGGTGTATTGTAGTATATAAGAATCCGGTCACGAAAGTAATGAGGTCATGGCATGTATAGTTGGTGGAGGTCCGTTGCACAAATTATTTTTGTAATTATTTCTCGCAACTTTCTACGTACATTTTTTTTTTATTTTTCCTTTCTATTAATAAAAAGATAAAAAAGTAAAGTTAAGAGATAATTAATATTCTTTATATTTTTAATTGACTGTTGAGAGATAAATAGATAATTAAAATTATTCTTAAAAGTATTACTTTAATATAGATACACATTTGATTCTATTCAATTAAACTACTACGTGGTTTTCTCATATTTGAGAGGGAAAACTTTGTATCATTTTGTTTTGCTCTAAAAATTTTTACATCTTTTCCCTAACAGAAATGCAATAACAAAGAATAATACCGTGCATTGTGCACGACACTCAAAGAACAACATATGCATCGGCTGTACCGAGGGTACCACAGAAGTGGCTATTATCCTCGGCGATTAGGGATATATAAACGTGGATTTATGGTAGAGGAGGGATTTTCACTAAACTAAACACTTGATAGATTGCGTGCGCTGTAGAAACATTTATATCGCGGGGCGTAGCTAGTATTTACTTATCATTAATATACGAGTTACGGAGATTTATGGGGATGTAGCCACAAACCGCGATGCTTTCGTAGATGAAACTAGGTTAGATCAGTTGTGGAATCGAACAGAAGTAACTGGAAGCTATAAGTAATTATGGATGCGTACAAATTAATATTTAAATTTAATTAAGAGAGAGCGAAAATAGAAATCGGAACGTAAATCGAATGTAAGAAGAGAATATAAGAAATGTAAACGAAGCTTTTAAACAGCAAAAATTGCGACTACGAGTTGTAAAAAGTGTTTACTTTCAATTTTCGCCTCCCGGAAACTTAACTTCTGCGACTTTCCTCTTACATTTAATTTAAATACGTTTTCCAATTTTATTTTTGCCAGGATTAACTGAGATTTACTTGGTAGTGATATTCTTTCAAGCCAGTAGCCATATTTGATTCTTACATTTAATTTCGTCTTAAAGTACAGTATCTTAATTATAAGTTATAAACACCAATTCAGAATCGCAATAAGATAGTTTTGAAATAATTATATAGACCATAAATACCAGTGTTAACCTCTATACATTTTACAATACAGATATACAAATTATGTTTCAGAATTAATTTGCGAAAATGTGCCGAAGCACTTGTCGTCGTGAATAAACAAGGTTGAGGGAAAAAAAGCCGGAAATAAAAATTTCGGCACGAAGGCCACGAATTCGGGATGGGTGCAGAATTACCGTGGCCCGTGGGGCGAAGAATCACACGTTGGTCGGAGAGGCGATCCTTAGCGCAGCCGGTGGCGGTAAATCTGGCGTGTAGCTGAGGAAAGGCGAGGGTAGCGTGTTGGGTTCTGGTGGACCCATCGCGCGCACACACCCACGCAACGCGACACAAACGAACGCACGCAGGTGTGTATCAGCGGCGCGGGCCTGCGCGCAATCGGGGGCGAAGGGTCCGCTTTAGCGTGGAGTTGCCCCCGCGGTAACCAGGACAACGGCACGCAACGCCGCCCACAATTCCCGGGCTGTCTTGTCCGGTGTGTTTGCTCGATGATTTTATACCAATTACGGCCTATCCCCATACCATTGCCTACACACACCATCGATACCGCCAGCCGCCGCCGCCGCCGCCGCCACCGCCGCCGCCATCGCCGTTCTCGGGTGCGATTCGCCACTTCCGGAACAGAAGCCACCAGGTAAAATTGGCTGTGCCGAAACAAGACGCTCAGAGTATTTGGATCGACATCGTTATCAATAAATATCGAAGTATTGTCGACGCTATCTGGGATTGAAAAGAAAAGTATCCACTATTAATATTTAAATTTCTTAGTGTTTCCAGAAAATTTATTTTAAATACTATTGAAACACCTGTTGCATTGAATGAAAACTTGATTCTGACTATAATTTGTGTGAAGAGATTTATTTAAGATTTATATAGAAATATTCATGACGAGAATAGTTGAGCTTTACTAAAAACGCACTGGCGCGATAAATCAACTTGAATCTTTTTCGGCGATTAATCTGGGTAGAGAGAATAAAGTTTGTATTTTTCTATCTTACATAATGAAATATATATGTATTTAAATTATATGGCAAGAGATATATGTGTATTTAAATTCATAATACCCATAAACGATACACAACATAAAAGAATATATTCAACATATCTAATGGAAAATAATCTATTATAATTATATTACGTATTTGCATATATTTAATATAATTATTATATATCTATATGTATATTACATTTTATAAGTAAAAAAATCTGTTATATTTTTATTTCATAAGTTAATCGAATGTTTTGTTAACTCAAACTTCATTAAGCTTAATTTACTCAGGAGTATACTATTTTTTATATTGCATTCATTTCATTTGTGCGTTATTTGTGCGTTAAATAAATATAAAGTATAAATGGTTAAGCTAACAAATTCTCTGCTAAAGTGATTTATGTGTATTACGAGTTATTAATTATTTTCCAGTCTACGTGATTTATTAATTTAAATATATTTATATACATACAGGGTGTCCCAAAATTCACGTGACGGATTTCGTGGACAGGTAGAGCGGATTAAACTGAGACGGAAAGTCTTGTAACATCTTATAATTTTGCCAATAGTTAACGAGATATTACTGTCTAAAGATTACTGAATACGCGCTTGACGCGCGGGGAATGGAATCTGCCTGATAAACCTGCCCCGCACCGCGCACACCGCCGCGAGCTATCAGCTGGGTGTAATAGTAGGCCGGGTGGACGCATGGATTCGGTAATCTTTAGACATTAATATCTCGTTAATTATTGAGAAAATTGTGACAAGACTTGCCGTCTTAGTTTAGTCCGATTTACTTGTCCACGATATTTGCCAGGTGAATTATGGGACACTCTGTATATATATATATGCATCTTTGGTACTGCGTATTATTTCAATCATGTTATATCATATCTATACATCGGCTAGATCTACGCAGATAATTACAGAGTTTGTCAAAAAAGTATTGAGTCGACTAGTATACATATATGTTTAGCATTATTTTTTACTTGTCCACTGAAAAATACTATGCATCCTAAATGCATAAGGAACTGTGCATCTCAATTTTTTGTCCAGTCTTACGGATACAAGTGCGACCATTTCGGAGCACCGTCTATATTTTCTCCACGACATGAAATACATGCAGAGACATCTAGACATTCTCTGGTAAATTTTCAGCATTATCGACGAGAAGTCGATAAAACAGACATCGATAACAATCATAATAATATATTATGTGATATTATTTATGTATCATTTTGTCGTTTTTACGTTCCTTCAAGATAGATTATTAATTTCATATTTTAATAATATAATTTTTCACATTTTGATAATGTTGAGAATATTCAAAGATGTCGCGTCTAAAGAAAAGTTAACGTAACTTAAAATTGTCTCCAATAAAATGACACTCCGATTTTTCCAATTATTAATTATACATTATGCATTACAATATTGACCGAATTTTATATCAATTTTGAACGTTGTATTTCACGCTGCAGTGAAAATCTATGAAAAATCTTAATATTTAACGACATGTACAATCCGCAGAATACAAGCAATAATATTACATCAATGTTAAAACTTCTTACTCAACAATGTAACCGTTATGTACAACGCGTGCTATATATGTATGTTTAAATTGTTGAATGGAGTTGTAATTATGATGTAATGTGTGTGTTACCATTAATTCTACACATTCAATATTAACAAATACTGACAATATTATTGATCGTATGCAGTTAATATCGATGGATTGACGTAAAATACTGACTTGGATTTTGATTATCGAGCATCGTTTTATTAGAATCCATGTCACGATATGTCACAGTGCAATAAATATACGTAACTAAAGCGAAATATATTGTCAATAATACTGATTGTGTAAAAATACTACAAATATTGATACATACTGTCAGTGTGTGTACTACTGATTCAATATTACTAATTAAGTATCACTGACCGTATAGAGCTATTTTGTGTTCTGCGGGAAGTAACATCTGCGTAAAGTCAATAAGAAAAATTCAAGACTAAATCAAGTAACTACATTACGCAAAAAGTTACACAGAGACATACTGTACGTAAGGAGTAAATAATACTATTAATAATAATTTGGTCCAGCTAATAACTTAAACTGTAGTATCTTACATTATTATGTAATATCTTATATTTACATACTTAATTTCTATTTGTTTTTATAATTGCAGGTTCATTAACCCGGATAAGTTGCACCAATAATTGGAGAGATCGATCATTTCAGATTCAAATTTCAATCAGAATTTTGATCGCGCCTCATGATATGTTCCATAATGAACATTCTTGTTCTTGCCGAAATCATCGTCGAAGTTGTCAGCTCCGCTGTACATGGAAAAGCCACGACGAGAGAGCAGTTCTCCAGGCACGATCGTGGGGTTGGTGTAACAAAAGTCCGCCATCATGTTTGTCTGTCTGTTTAGTTGGTTGGACCTAAATCAATTTTCAGTTTCAACCTCAGCGATCGAATTATTACCACATAGACAGGAACGTGAAGGATTCGGATAGAGGTGATCAGCTTAACAGCTGAATTTAAATCGATTGCCAATTACAAAGTGAGAATTATAATGAGGAATGTCTCTCGGACATTATATGAAAGAAATCATACATAATTATTTGTATTAGTAATCGAATGATTAAAGAAATTATCAAATAAAATTTGAACAAAAAAGATTTTTCAAGTTTCATAGCAGGGATAAATCTAGAAATATTTTCAACCAAGTGCGAGAAAGAAAAGAAAACTGAGGACAAAATCAAGATATTTCTCTATGCAATAACAAGTAGTACTATTACGATTTACTCTTACATACGATTGGAATAAAATCAAATCGAAATTATGACTAAATTATCTAACTACTTTCATGTTAAATATTTACAAACAAAAACCAGAAATTATTCATTAATTAAAGTAAAAAGGTTCGATCGCCATTACCGCTTTATGTTCTTGGACGAGATAAGCGAAATAATCGCGGCAATAAAGATATGCTATCAACCATTTCGTCGTTGGCTACGTGACTCACAAAAGAAATATGCGTATTTTTGTTCTAGAAAAACGAAAATGTCTAACTGTCTCTGTTGCAGATATACGTCAGGCATTTTTTCTACTTTCCTTTCGCCGCGCAGGTGCACCGCTAAGTAAGTGAAGCAATCAAATAACCATAGATATCACACGTTGCACGTAACACGCTAATTGATTTTACAACAGTATTCACAAATGTATATATGTATAGTTAATTAGAACAATTTCAACTTGCACAATTTTTATTCGTTTTTCGAATAAATGCAGGCCGGAATTATATGGCTCAATTTTTTGATTACTTTAATTTTGCAGAATTATGCAATATAAAACGTATGTCAAAAATGCAGAAGTGTGTAAGAATCAATTACCGAAAAAGAAACGTTTATGAAGACGTTACACGAAACTGAAGTTCGTAAAACCAGATATTTCGCGTGTAATACACGATGAAATACGTCGCCGACGATTCGCGATCGGACAGTAATATGTATTTAGCTACGGTACGATTCAACCACGTAGAAATTTTTAAACGCGCGCGTTACACGAACAGGACTGTCTTCGACTACGCACTTTTACGCAATAAAGTATCATGTCTGTCACTGATAAAATAAAAAATGTGAGTAACTTTAATCAATATTTACTGATGATAATTCGCAGCATAATTAACATTTGGTAAATATTTGATGTCTTCGGATTATGCAATCAGAACCTTCAATTGGCGCACCAATTGTCAGCTGACAAAGAGGCTGCGTTACTCACCCGTCCTCGGCTAATCGATTTACTTTCACGAATAGCACGGTCACCAAAACGAAAAGTAAGATAAGCGCGCCGGCGAAGATACCGCATGCAATGTAAAAATATAGCGTCAAATCATCGATTTCCTAGAAAGAAGAGACAATTTTAGAGTCACATTTCCGCAAAGGAAATTAAATTCGAATTAAATGAGAGCTGAGGATTGTTCGCTAATACATAGACGCTCTGCTTATTCATCTATTTAGCATCGTAATAAAATTCAATCGTCCCGATTTTGACAAATAATTGAAGCGATGAAGCGAAAACTTCAAGTAACTTTTGGTTATCGGACACGAGAATGTGAAATTGTAGGATGCTGTAGTATGTCAATAGTCATCCTCGAAGATTCGTAAACAGCATTTCTAGTATCAAAACGACTACTAACAAAGAATGGCGGATCAACACGTTTTTCTCGAATCGTTATTGACGCTATTTTTTATCTCCCTAATCAGAATTTATCTCGTAAATATCTTTCATGCGTTTTCTCGATTCAACGCCTTGCACAAATCCGACCTTGCGTGCACATAGCTGCACTTCTAATAACGAGGTCTGCGCGAACGGACGTAATCAATTATTACGATATGCAGGATCTACTAGAATCTGTAAATATCTCGTATCTTGTCCGTGAGAAAAACAAGGGAGTAATTTGAAAGAAAGGGACGCGATCAATTGCGAGTGGTTGCATAAGCTTTAAACCGTTTCCTTTTTAACTACTTATATCTAAAAATTAATCGATACATATTCTTGTTATAAGACAAATCGACTAATTAAGTGATGAGCCATTAAAGGAATATTTGTTCGTTGATATGAGACATTATCAGATAATTCTATTCAAGATAATACACTTATATGTATTCTAATTGTGCTAATGATTAAGATTCTAAATAATATAAATTTTGAATAAATAAAAATTTGACAAAATAATTATTATACTTGTACATATTTATACGCATATTTACAATCACCTGCAAAAAAGCAGACCAATATAACGTGGTCCGTACTTTGCGAATGAGTGTATTATATGTATAATTAATATGTATATTATTAAATATACATACATCATATTTTTCCGAATAAAGTAGAAGCGTGTTTTTGCAAATATTTATAAAATTGCAATCACGCGCGCGCGTTTGTCGTTTGTCCTATCTGATTTTCCGCTGTCAGCACAAATATCGCCAGATGTGAAACTTACCGCAGACAAGGATAAACCAAAAAGTATCAACTTTGCCATGAAGCTACGTAGACGGCATAACTATTTTAACAATGTGTCACATAAATCATCTATAAACTGATACACTGTTTACGACACACTTGAGCAAAACACAACTAGGAATTTTGTCGGGGGGGGGGGGGGGGGG